ATATAGTTTGTTTTCTATTACCATGATCAAACTTAATCAATTACCATTCCATGTCTTAGAAATGGATTTTAAGCCATTTCATTTTCCCATTTTTAACCCAGATCTAAAAAATTTAGATCAAAACGTTATATATTTAAGAAAACATTTCCTTGTTGAGTTCTTTGATATCTGTCAATCCCTGAACGTACAGACACAGAGATCATGAAAACCCTACAGAACGTCTATATGAAGGATCATTTACAAAGTTGAGTGAATTTGCAAACCACGGGTATAAGCATGAGTACCTTTCCTTCTTCAGCCTGTTTGGCCACAACTTTTGATAATTCCTGCAATTTATCAATAAATTCCATAATCTCAGTTTTTAGAATGACATCGAATGAACTTATAGTGATCACTTATATATTTAGAGAACAATATGCTTCAATATTAATCACAAAATATCTAGAAAAAAATAATTAATTTAGCATGGATGTTGTCACTGTGTCAACTTTAGAAAAGAATGTCTTGCTAAAACTACTGTTAGGAACATAGAGTGCTACTTATAATGTGTTCTTTAACATGTATGTGAGATCCATGAATATAGTACCCAGGACGCAGTAAACTTTTCAATATATGCACCCTTACAACAAACTGTATTATAATTACTGACTGGAAATATATGAATAAAAAATAGCCAGACCTAGCAACATGGATATCTTAACATTTCCTCAAAACAAGTCAAGTTCATGAAATATCGATATAACACTTGAGTTTTAAGATTGAACTCATAAAGCAATCTGATCCTCCTAAAAGCAGGAAAAGGCAGAAGAGTTATCTATTCTATACAGAAACGTCATTCAGGAGACAGTGAAAATAATGATCTAATTATTCTCCATTAGGGATGGGCACAAAGCCCGGCCCCGTGGGGATCCGCCCCGAATTTTTCAGGATTCGGGCCCGGATCGGGCCCAAATTTGGCCCCGAAATTCGGGGACGGGCCGGGGGCTGGGATAGGTGTTTCCCCACCCCGCCCCGTATATTATATATATATATATATATATATATTAATTTTAATATTTGAAAATCAATTATACATTATACAATAATAATATATATGTAATATATTATTTGTTGTTTGATTGATTATAATGAATCAATAAATCACTATAATTTAGTATGATGGTTTTTATATTTAATATGTATATTATATATTTAATTTTTTTTTTTTGTTGGTATATATAATTTGGAGAAAAGAATAATAAAAGTATAAAACAAAGGATAAAAAATACAAAAAACCCCCAAACAGGGAATTCGGGGGTTTGGGGAACGGGCTTTTTTTTGGGGATTCCCCTAATTCTCCGAACGGGCTTCGGGCCGGGACCGGGGAATCCCCTAGGGCTTTTGGGCCGGGGCCGGAGACAATGGTCCCCGGCCCCGCCCCGGCCTGTGCCCAAGACTATTCTCCAAGGGATGAAGCACAAAAAAGTTAGCAATCTTCCACAAAAGTGGACCTATTCAATTGCTACTTAAAACAACCAAACCAAACATAGCAAGACATAATATAATATATGTACCAATCAATAATTTCATGGGGATTGAACACGCCTTTAAACTATCGGTGATAATACTGTACAACAAATCTTTTCACATTCTCAAGAAAAAGGGAGATACCTTTCTTCTATCAGATGTCAGTTGAGGAAGGGTCAAACGTATCACTTCACCATCATTGTTTGGAGTCAAACCAACATCAGAGCTTACTATGGCCTTCTCTATAGCCTTTAAGCTGAAACAAACAACATGCAAAAGGTAACATGAATTAACAGGATAAAGTATACAAACACTACAGGACATACTCTGGAATCAGAAGTTTTCTATTGCTCAATAATTCCAGAAAATTATATTAATTTTCTTGTCAAAGAAAATGAGTCAAAAGGTCGGAGAAGCTTAACTAGTCCATACACATTTACTTTATTTTCTCAGCTTACCATACAAAGCAGATTTTAGAAGACCTTTTTTCTTTTTTTTTTTTTACATATATATTTCCTAGTATGCATGGGGTGTCTACTGCAGAATATAACAAACTAGACATATAGGTTGGTACTCAACAATGCCAAACTTAATTCATGGCCTCGTATTTATGAAGTACCTTGATTTATCATACGGTTGAACCAGAAGTGAACTTGCATCAGGCGTAGTGACTTGAGCTATGCTCTTCAAGCCGACTGGAGTTCCATAATATTCCACCTAAAAAGGCATTGACATATAGGTTTATAAGAGAGGCATGCCAGGCACTACTTAAAAAATTCAAGTCAATGAATACCAATTTTTCTGATTTTAGTCTTGCAGTATTTCTTCAAACTATGTACATTTTCCTACTGTTGCTTACTGATTACCCTCTCCATTTATTATGTAAGCTTTAGTTTCTATAATGAGTTTGCAGGTGGAGGAATAATCCACTTGAGAACTAGAAAGAGCAAACAGAAAAAAATAACATGAGAAAGGAGAGAAGCAGAGATAGCACATAAGATTTATCACAAAATGGACTTCGCATGGGAAAAGTGGCTCAGGGTAACAGCAGATAGTGGAGTACAAAATAACTGGGGAAATTTCTACGGATGCAAAAGTGAGACACCGAATTTTTATTCAAAACTTAATGTAATGACTTCACCGTCTTAGCTTTAAGATCATTAGTACACATCACATATCAGCATTTATAGTTGGTTCATTAGGTTATGCTCTATTCCAACACAATTCATCTCTCTAAATTTAAACCAAAGCTCAGTTTTACATACACAAAAATAAGATTCAAAAACACAGGACAGAATGCAATCAGCACAGGAAATATTGCCAGGAGTCAAACCTCAATCTTATCTAACATGGCTGGATTTGCTCGCCCTGTCCGTACTGAATTGAAATTGGTCCGAACCATTTCAATAGTCTTATCCATTCTAGCTTTCTGAAAAATTATCCAGCGCAGTGATTATTCAACAACACGCTTCTAGAAAACACTAAACAGAATGTAAAAAACAATCACAAAAACACTCACAACATCTTTTTCAATGGAAGATTTCTCCGCTTCGATTTCTTCAATAGTTGCACACCTCACAAATCTTGTTCTGCATTGTTCACAACAATCAAAATTCAGCCGGACATTTTAACAAACAATAAACAAGCTATTTTATCAATCGAACTAAAACTACAAAATCTCTGACCTCTTGTGCACCAATTGTTTAACAACAACAGATTTTCCAGAGAATTTCACAAGTCTAACGTAGTTTGCAGCTGAGCTCCACTTGCTCACATTCACACTGCCAACGCGGCACGAGGCGCTTTCAGCTCTTCTATGATAAGAATCTGTTAAGAAAATAAAAAAACAAAATTACCAAAATATTTTGAGGAAAAAAAAAAAAAAGAGAGTAATAATAATACCGAAGAGAATTGTATGGAGAACCTGGAAGGAAAAGGAGGGACTTGGAAGGATTTGGTTTAGACTGGAAAATGGAGCGAACAGACCTAGTTGAAGAGAAGTGCGTCGCCATGAAAGCTTAGACTAAAAAGCAAAAGCGTTTAAAATGCGTGGTTTTGTTAGTAGCAGTAACTGAATGAGAGCTTGGTCTTTCTTTGTCAACAAGCTTCGAAGAAGAACAGGGGAATGGTTTGGACTTTGGATAAGAGTTTCGTTGTTACTTCAGGGACCCTGTTTGCCTTTTGGGATAAACTTGTTCTGTACCTGTATTTGGGATGTTTCTTTTCCGGACAGTATTGTTCAATCTTGGGATTACTTTCTTACTCTTGGGCGATTATAAAGCTACAATCTAATTCCACAAACTTTTTCTAACAATCCTGATATAATAGTTGGTCAGCTTGTAATTAGGGCAGGCGAACCCATTGCAAACTATCACGTCGACAGGGACGGATCCAGCCTTCAATTTTTTTTCTTAAATACTCATATGTACAAATTTTGGATTTTGGCCCACCTAACAAAATATGACACAAATATTAATTTACAATTAGTTTTTATTTTGGCCCACCCTAACAAAATTTCTGGATCCGCTACTACACGTCAGAATTATGAGAGAAAGTTTGTAAGATTAGACTGTAAGTCAATCTTTATTGTTGTTTTATATATACTCAAATTTTTTTTTTTAATCTTCATTTAACTATCTTAAAGATCTAGCAGTTGTGCATGTTGGAATCACATGTATTTTCTTTTAGAAAGAAACAAAAAATAATAATGTTATGTGATACGAACTCTACCAACAATTGTGATGAAACCCGATAACAATGATGGATTGAAACCCCAAGATCGTGAAGACAAGATTTGTTGAGACTTGACCCGTCACCTAACAAGATGAAAATCAAGACTACGAAGGCTTGAAACACCACACCAAGAAAACCTAAAAAAAATTCTCTCAAGAATTCAAGGTGATAAGTTTGGTAGTTTGAACGCCACAAGATTAACTTGATAAGTTCAAGAGTTCTTTTTAAGAACTAAGAGGAACACAAAACCTTACAAGATGATAATTTTCTAAATAACCAAAAATCCCTCTTAAAATTCGTAATACCCATCTATATACTTGGAACAACCCTCCAAGAATAGGCAAAGTCATAATTGCAGCTTAAAAATCCCCTAAAATTCGTAATGTCCATCTATATACTTGGAACAACCTTCCAAGAATAGGCAAAGTCATACTTGCAGCTTTAAAAACAACACAAAAATTAACCTAAACAAGTCTCCACGTTTTTTTGGACTCTTGGACTTCTAAAGACAGCAAAAAATAACTAAACAACTAGATTTAATGTATTTTAACATGCCCAGCCAGGACCGCGTCATTCTCCTATTTAATAACTTGAAACTCAACAAATTCAACCCTTTAATGGTCAAACCATGCTGGTTACGAATTTGCATGCTAATTAGTCTCTTCAATTGCTTGGATGACATGGACTAGGCAGGCCTTGATTATTATTTGAGCCCATCTTAGTCTTTTTAGAATCAGCCCAATTCTCTTGGATTAACCCATTTAATACTTCCTTGAAATGTTTGGCTCTAATCTTGTAATTGGGCCACTAGAAAGTGACAAAGAATCTTGTGCAAACTCAGCTCCATTCCCACTTGTATGATTAACATGTCCAGCTCCTTGGTTTCCATCATTCTCCCCCTCTTGAGAAGGATTTGTCCTCAAATCATCACCTACATCAAAAGGAGACAAATCAGCAATATTAAAGCTGGCACTGACACCATACTCACCTGGTAAGTCAAGCTTGTAGGCATTATCATTGATGCGTTCTACTACTTGAAATGGTCCGTCACCCCGAGGTAGGAGTTTTGAATGCCGTTTCTCCGAAAAACGGTCATTCCTTAAGTGCAACCAAACCCAATCTCCTGGTTCAAACACTACCTTCTTACGTCCTTTGTTGGCTTGTTGGACATATTGTTTAGTCCTCCTTTCAATGTTCAGCTGTGCCTTTTTATGAATCATCTTTACAAATTCTGCTTTCTTTTTGCCATCTAAGTTCACACGTTCACTCAAAGGTAAAGAAGTTAAATCCAAAGGTGACAATGGGTCAAAGCCATAAACAATTTCAAATGGTGAAAACTTAGATGCAGAATGTATACTTCTATTGTATGCAAATTCAACATGCGGCAAACAATCTTCCCATGTTTTCAAGTTCTTTTTAATGATAGCACGCAACAAAGAAGACAATCTTCCCATGTTTTCAAGTTCTTTTTAATGATAGCACGCAACAAAGAAGACAAAGTTCTATTTACTACTTCAGTTTGACCATCCATTTGTGGATGACAAGTAGTAGAAAACAACAACTTGGTTCCCAACTTTCCCCACAAAGTCTTCCAAAAGTAACTCAAAAACTTTGCATCCTTATTAGAAACAATGGTCCTAGGCATACCATGTAACCTAACAATTTCTTTGAAGAACAAATCAGCTATATGTGATGCATCATTAGTTTTATGACATGCAAATCAACCATCACAAAAACTGAATCTCTCCCCCTCTTAGTCCTAGGTAAACCTAAAACAAAATCCATAGAAATACCAGTCCAAGGTTCACTAGGTATTGGCAAAGGGGTGTACAAACCATGGGGTTTTAACTTAGACTTAGCCTGTTTACATGTAATACATTTCTCACAGATTCTTTCCACATCACGTTTCATATGAGGCCAGAAAAAATGATCATACAAAATTCCTAAAGTCTTAGCTACACCAAAATGACCATCAAACCACCACCATGAGCTTCTCTCACAAGCAATTCACGCAAAGAACACATAGGCACACACAACTTATTTTCTCGAAACAAAAATCCATCATGCTTATAAAACCTACCAAACGCCACTTTTTCACATGCATTGAACACATCACCAAAATCAAAATCTTGTGCATACAAATCCTTAATATATTCAAAACGAAGCAGTTTTGTATCTAAAATGGAAATTAAAGCATACCTTCGGGACAATGCATCAGCCACCACATTTTCCTTACCTTGCTTGTATTTGATCACATAAGGAAATGTTTCAATGAATTCCACCCACTTGGCATGGCGTTTGTTCAACCTTTGCTGTCCTTTCAAATGCTTCAAAGATTCATGATCTGTGTGAATCACAAATTCCTTTGGCCATAGATAGTGTTGCCAATTTTCCAAAGCCCTTACCAAGGCATACAACTCCTTATCATAAGTGGGGTAATTTAGGGCTGCCCCACTCAACTTTTCACTGAAATGAGCAACTGGACGGCCTTTTTGCATCAAAACAGCTCCAATACCTATTCCTGAAGCATCACACTCAATTTCAAAAGTTTTAGCAAAGTTAGGTAAAACAAGCAAAGGTGTATTAGTTAACTTATCTTTGATCCGATTAAATGTCTTTTCTTGTTCTTTCCCCCACTTAAATGACACATTTTTCTTGATGACTTCAGTAAGAGGGGCAGCTAAGCTACTAAACTCACGCATAAACCGTCTATAGAAACTAGCTAAGCCGTGGAAACTCCTCACTTGGCTAATTGTTGTAGGCGTTGGCCACTCTTGGATTGTCTTCACCTTTTCCTCGTCCACCTCAATTCCTCTCTTACTAACAACAAAACCAAGAAATACAAGCTTATCCGTGCAAAAGGTGCACTTCTTGATGTTAGCAAACAACCTCTCTTTCCTTAGAATTTCCAAAACAGATTTCAAATGCATTACATGCTCTTCCAAGTTTTCACTATAAATTAGGATATCATCAAAATACACAACTACAAATCTACCAATAAATGCACGTAAAACATGGTTCATCAAACGCATAAATGTGCTCGAAGCATTAGTTAAACCAAAAGGCATCACTAACCACTCATACAAACCATATTTAGTCTTAAAAGCAGTTTTTCATTCGTCACCTTCCTTCATCCTAATCTGATGATATCCACTCTTAAGATCAATTTTTGTAAAGACACAAGAACCATGCAATTCATCCAACATATCTTCTAATCTAGGAATGGGATGACGATATTTTACCGTTATGTTGTTGATGGCTCGATAGTCAATACACATCCTCCATGTTCCATCCTTCTTAGGAACTAATAGCACCGGAACCGCACCAGGACTTGTGCTTTCACGCACATACCCCTTCTCCAATAATTCACCTACTTGCCTCTGAAGTTCCTTGGTCTCTTCGGGATTACTCCTATAAGCAGGTCGGTTTGGAATTGATGCACCAGGTATGAGATCAATTTGATGTTCAATCCCTCGGATTAGAGGTAAACCATAAGGTACCTCTTCAAGAAGGACGTCTTCAAACTCCTGCAAAAGAGAAACAATATCGCTCGGCAAAGTACTGATGAGATTATTAGTACATAAAAGAGTCTCCTTGTACATGAGTACAATAAGGGGCTGATGTGAAAATAATGCTTTCTTGATCTCACATTTTTTTGCAATATAATTGAATTTTTCCTCTCTTGCTCTCACTATGGCCGAAATCCTCTCTCTTTCTTTTTCACTCTGATCAATGTTTTTCTCTCCCTTTTTTTTTTCAACTTCGGCCTTCCTTTCTTTTTCCCTTTTTTTTTTTCATTTGATCTTTGTAACTTTAATTAGTCCTTCCTGACCTGATTCGAAGTTAATGGCACAAGAGTAATAGGTTGCCTTTTCAAGAGTGAAAGAATACTTATTTGTGAATCCATTATGCATAACCCTCAGATCATACTGCCATGGTCTCCCCAACAATAAATGGCATGCGTGCATAGGAACCACATCACAAAGCACCTCATCCTCATATTTGCCAATGGATAATGCAACCAACACTTGTCTTGTCATCTTGATTTCGCCACATTCATTCAGCCACTGAAGCCGGTAAGGTTGAGGATGTTTCAAGGTAGTTAAGGCCAATTTCTCCACCAAATAAGTGATGGCTACATTTGTGCAACTCCCTCCATTGATAATGACACTGCAAACTTTGTTATTTACAAAGCACCGGGTATGAAACAAGTTCTCCCTTTGGTTACTTTCTTCCTCCTTAACCTGCGCATTGAGAACTCGCCTTGCTACCAATAAATCTCCAACCACAGCATTTTGCTCATCATCGACATCCTCCAAAGATGGCATGTCATCATCATCTACTCCTTCCTCATTCTGCGACTCAAGCTCTCCTTGAGCATTGATCACTATCACCCTTTTGTTTACACACTGGCTGGCTATGTGTCCCTGCCCCTGACATTTAAAACACTTAATATCACGTGTTTTAGAACTCGAAGCCTCGGTGTTACCTAAAGTAGTGACGGTCTTGGAGTTGACATTCTTAGATAGTTCAAGTTTTGGCTTATTTTGTAGCTGTTCGTCCCTTTTTGGAGCTGTCTTCCACGGACTGGTGGTAGCCATAGGTTGTCCCCTCCTAGCCAATCTCTTTCGTTTAAATTGTTCCTCCATCTTTATGGCTTGATGTACCATATCCGTCAACTCAACATAGTGTTACATCTCATATATATCCACAATCTCACAATTTAAACCATGAAAAAATCTAGCCATAGTGGCTTCCCGGTCCTCTTCTACATTAGCCCAGATCATAGCTACCTCCATCTCCTTGTAATACTCATCCACACTCTTAGAACCTTGAGTTAACCTCTACAACTTTTGATACAATCCCCTAAAATAGTTATTGGGTACAAAACGCTTCCTCATAAGCATTTTCATCTCCTCGCAAGTGTCCATGGGTGGCTCTCTATTCCTCCTCCTATTAATCAGTAATTGATCCCACCAAACAATAGCATAATTGGAAAATTTAATTGCAGCCAACTTAACCTTCTTTAACTCCGAGTAATTGTGACAATCAAACACCTTCTCCATTTTAGTTTCCCACTCCAATAAACTTCAGGATCATTTTTACCTTGAAAAGATGGGATTTTAATCTTTATGTTCCCTAAATCATTATCCCTCCTAGGCCTACCCATCCTAGCTTCTCTATTCCCATACCCACGCTCGAACCTGCCCTGGTTCAAATATGGCTCATTAAACTCCTCCGACTTTGCCTCTTCCTCAACATTCCGCCACAGAACACACCCACCTTGCTGCCTATTGGGATGTCTTGTTGCTGTCCCCTAGGCTGCTTCTACCTTGTCCAACCTCTCGTGAATAGGCTCTAATTCCGCCCTCAACATACGCCTCATCTCCCCTATAAACGCTTGCATTTGGAGGTTCAGAGCAACGGATTGTTGATATTCTTCGGTTATGTCTTCTTCTTGATTATTAAACATGCTTAGAATCTGCAAAACAAGGTTAGAATCCTCACAAGCACTCCCTCACGTATTTCACTCAAGAATTGATACACTTGCACTCGTGTTTTCACTCTAAACGGCTTTTACCCTCTTATGGTCTCACACACTCTTGCCTTTTTCCACTCTTTTGTGTCTTCTTTACTTCTTAATCGAACTTCAAGAAACTAATTCAAAATAATCCAGCAGCAATTCAAAAATGAGAAACAACAAATACTCATAAAAAGATCAAGAACTTGAATAAGGTGAGAAACAAGATTGAAAGGAAGAATTTTTTTTTTTAATTATTGGAATCGTGTACTGAGAATTGATATGAATTGAGAAATTTTCCTCTTTGTGTACTGAGAATTTTTTTTTTTTTTTTTTTTTACAGCAAAGAACAGGAAGTCTGGAAATAGAATGAAAATAAAAGATAGCCAAACTTATCTTAGAACTTGGCTCTGATACCAAAATGATACAACTCCACCAACAATTGTGATGAAACCTGATAACAATGATGGATTGAAACCCAAAGATCGTGAAGACAAGATTTGTTGAGACTTGACCCGTCACCTAACAAGATGAAAATCAAGACTACGAAGGCTTGAAACGCAACACCAAGAAAACCTAAAAAAAATTCTCTTAAGAATTCAAGGTGATAAGTTTGGTTGTTTGAACGCCACAAGATTAACTTGATAAGTTCAAGAGTTCTTTTTAAGAACTAAGAGGAACACAAAACCTCACAAGATGATAATTTTCTGAATAACCAAAAATCCCCCTTAAAATTCGTAATACCCATCTATATACTTGGAACAACCCTCCAAGAATAGGCAAAGTCATAATTGCAGCTTAAAAATCCCCTAAAATTCGTAATATCCATCTATATACTTGGAATAACCTTCCAAGAATAGGCAAAGTCATAATTGCAGCTTAAAAATCCCCTAAAATTCGTAATATCCATCTATATACTTGGAACAACCTTCCAAGAATAGGCAAAGTCATAATTGCAGCTTTAAAAACAACACAAAAATTAACCTAAACAAGTCCCCATGTTTTTTTGGACTCTTGGACTTCTAAAGATAGCCAAAAATAGCTAAACGACTAGATTCAATGTATTTTAACATGCCCAGCCAGGACCAAGTCATTCTTCTATTTAATATACTTGAAACTCAACAAATTCACACCCTTTAATGGTCAAACCATGCTGGTTACGAATTTGCATGCTAATTAGCCTTTTCAATTGCTTGGATGACATGGACTAGGCCTTGATTATTAGTTGAGCCCATCTTGGTCTTTTTAGAATCAGCCCAATTCTCTTGGATTAGCCCATTTAATGCTTCCTTGAAATGTTTGGCTCTAAGTCTTGTAATTGGGCCACTAGGAAGTGAGAAAGGATCTTGTGCAATTTCAGCTCCATTCCCACTTGTATGATTAACATGTCCAACTCCTTAGTTTCCATCATTATGCCTGGAAAAGTAGGGCTGACGCAGAGCCCAGTCAGCACAAGTGGTCAAGGTCTGGATAGATCCTACAGCCATTCAGACGCGGCCATGTCGCGTGCTGGCGTGAGTAGCATGATCCTGCCAGTGTAGTGGGTACATGCCAGTTTGATGAAAGGCTGGAGGACGTCTAAGTGTCCAATCCCTACACAAAGCGAGTAGATCACGCGAGTAGGTGAATAATAGGACGCAAAAGAGGATTTGCACGATACCTGACCCCTTTTTACTGATTCAGTAATGATTACCTCAATGTATCCCACTATAAATAGAGAGATTCTCTCCCGTTTGTGGGATTCGCTCATTTTTACTCTTGATTAGCTATTTTCTCTCTGTAATAGCTCTTTCCCTCTCTCTTTCTCAGTTGTACTCTCATCAGCTCGCTAGTGTGCGACCTGATCCCTCAAATATAAATACAATATCAGTGGACGTAGGATTCGCTTGGTCAAGCATCCGAACCACTTTAAACATTATCTTGCCACCATTTACATTCTCAATCACCTATTCCCGTGTGTCTTTTGGGCTAACTCAGCATTTCACACGTGCGGTTAGTAGGTCTCAAAATCACGCATCAACAGTTTGGCGTTAGAATGAGGGCATGATTTAGTATTCGTCATTCATCAGGAGAATTTCTGACTAACTGGTCCTACAATAGCAAATGGCTCGCCGACTTGAACCTGAGCGAACCAATCATGACACTGAGGAGATCCCCTAAGTGCAAGAGGACACTTCTCCTGAGGTACCCCAAATTCCACAAAATGCTACGCGGGATATTCCTTCAAGTTCACAACTTGACCCTACCATCAGAAGCTACCTGGAGAGATTCGACAATACTCTCCAAACAGTTAACTGAAGGTTGGACTGTTTGGATTGGGGCGTGCCACCCGAATCAGCTGGGGTGGTGCAACCGCAAAAAATGTATGCAGGTCGCGCGAAAGTGCGGAGAAGGGCAATAGCCTAAGCCGCGCGCACTGCAGCATGTCAAAGGAAGGGTAAGCAAATGGTGAACAGCGGGCCTAAGGGCTCCAAAGGGCCGGCGAACACCGACCACGTCCCGAGTAGATACCCGTGGCTTTAAGGCTCAGTGAAAGGTCACAGCCCGAGCCGTCCCATGCCACGTCTCATGAATACCCTGATAAAAGTGCTGGGCGGGGCGATTCTTATCACCGCCAGAGAAACAATCCTGGTCATCATTGTGCGGGAGGTTCCCACACTTTGCGGGGCGGTTTGTACCACTACAGAGGTCGTAAAAATTCCTCGCACCATTCATCGCTATCACACGACTCTAGTCAACGTGTGTCAAGGGCGGCCAGAACTGTCGGCCGAGGCGAAGAGGAATTCGACCTCTGGAATTTTCTCAACTGCAATTGCGAGAGTCGAACTCGTATGGGTGAAAGCAATCCCCAAATAGCTTCGCTGCCTCAGATTGAGGAGCTACAGCTAGCTCTAGATCAGTTAAAGGCTCAGCAAAACGAGCAAGGGCAGATCGCAACAGCGTCTCCCTTTTCTCAGGCGGTATTAGCCGCCCCTCTCTCATCAAGATTTAGAATGCCCGATATGCGGGCGTTGGATAGAAATTCTGATCCGCAAGATCACTTGTATGAATTCAACGACCTGATAAAACTTCACCAGGTTTCGGATTTGGTGAAAGGCCATTGTTTGATAGTAACTCTAACCTCTCATGCTAAACGGTGATTCAGGTCGCTCCTAGCGGGATCGATCAGCTTGTGGCCTCAGATGAGCGCAACATTCTTGAGGCACTTCCAAGTGAACCGAAAGTTCTCAATGCCTTTAAGCTACCTGAGCAACATAAGGCAAGAGAGGGATGAATCCCTCCAATCTTACATCGATCGATTCCACAGAGAACTCAATAAGGTAGCTCACACTCCCGAAGAGTCTGTTCGGACTCTCATCATAGGGGAGTTCGCCCATAAACTGACCTGTGAAAAGAGTTATAGGCTGAGGATGATGTTTCCTTCACCCGCTTCTATAACCTTGCAGAGAAGTATCTCTGTATTGAAAACTTCTTAGCGGCACTCCACCACCGTGATCCCGGCACTTCAGGTAGTGCGCCTTGTCGAGGGGAAAGTAGGAGAGTTGATCGCAGATGGGATAATGACGATCAATGAAAAGGAAAGAAACCGTGGTACGAGCCTAAAAAGTCTTATGCTCCAGTTCCTCGTCGCGATCGTGACAGAAATCAGTATACACCTTTAAATGTGTCTGTATCAGCTATTCTTGACAAGTCAAAAGAGGCCAGCCTGCTCGGAGAGCTTGAGACTATGAAAAATCCCCCATCAGCCAGAAATAGTAAAAAATACTGTCGCTTTTATTGGGATAATAGGCATCACACCGATGAGTGTCGAGCTCTCAAACAGGTGATCAAAGACCTCATCAGGCAGGGGCATTTCAAGGAATATATTGATGACTCCACTCCCGCACAGGAGAAAAATCAAGGAGAACCAGGAAAGAAGCATCGTGATCGCAAAGGTATTTGTAGCGTCGGAATGATCTTCGGTGGACCGCACCTCGCGGGGAACTCGCAAGGTGCCCAGAAAAGATATGCTCGTGCAACCCATCACGACCCCATTAGTGTGATGAACACGACGCGACAACCAATGTTCTGAAAATTGGACTAGACAATGACCTGTTCAAGGGTCCGGTTTCTGGTTTGACCGGTTGGAACGGTCGATTGGACCATAATTAATAAAATTATATTTTAGTCCCTAAAGGTTTAAAATTCATCAAAAACACCCTATAATACTCCCTTAAGGTTTGAAATCTATCTAAAACACCCCTGTTGCTCGAAGATTCTGGTGAGTGTGGCGGCAACGACGATCGACGGGCAATCAAAGCTGGAATCTTGGGGCTTTTGATGTGTAGGTGCCAGTGACTTAGATGGTGGTGCGACGAAGTTCCATCAACGTCGAAACTCGCCGAAATCAACGAAAGAAATCTGACGTCGCATAAAGCCGTAAACTTTAGGTGGACGGCGATCGATGAAGGCTGGACGACGGCGACCGAAAATGGATGGGTTTGGTCATGGAGATGTCGTTTGTCGAATGAGGGTGTTTTCTCCGTCAAAAGATGCCGGAATCCGACGGCGATTGGACCGCGATTCGGCACTATTCTGGCGGTCCAACCGCGGTCCAATCTGATTTAACTTCAAATAACGATTTTTTATATATATCAGACCGGATTTGCCACCGGTTGCCTGTTGAACCGATCTGATCGGACGGTCCAGTCTGATTTTCAGAACATTGGTGACAACCACCAAAGGTTCGCAAGGAGGAGGAAATTACCTTCTCCGAAAAGGATGCAGTTCGATTGCATCATCCCCATGATGACGCTCTCGTGATCACGCCCCTGATAGGGCGCTACGACGTCCACAGAATGTTGGTGGACAACGGAAGTGCTGTGAACATCCTGTTCCAACCAACTTTCGAAAGAATGAACTTAGACAAGGCCGACCTGAAGCCCGTCTTGATCCCCCTATATGGTTTTACA